AACCATTCCTAGAACTATTCCTAGAAACATTCCTAGAAACATTCCTAGAACTATTCCTGGAACATTCCTAGAAATATTCCTAGAACATTCCTAGAAATATTCCTAGAACTATTCCTAGAAACATTCCTAGAACTATTCCTAGGGGCTCCATCTTTGCCGGACGCTCACTGAGGTTTTTTTGAGCCCACAGCTGCCGACCCTGAGCCATTTCTCTGTCCTGTAACGACCTGACCTGGAATAAACGCTGTTACTTTTTTACTCCTGCTTTATTGTCCTTTTTATCTGGTTTTACCCAGTTTGAGTTAAGAGTAGGAAATAATTTGCTCCCAGGAAAAGAACCGGTAGGGAAGCTCAGAACCATGTGTGTTTGTTTTGCTGATGTGAGAAGAAGAGAAATCATTTATGGTATTTTGATTTTCTTTTTGCAGAACAACCTTTTCAGGGAGAACAGGAACGGTTCTTTGGTGATAAATAATCTAAAGTGTCTGTTTCTGCCAGCTGCTTTCAGGGCCGCTCTTCTCGCAGTAGAAGCAGCTCCAGAATGATCTCAGGAAAGCCTGGTTCTGCTGAAATAAGCCCATCAGCAGCTTCTGGCCCAACAGATGCCTCCAGAGCTCTGGGGACAGAACTGCCTGCCGCTGCGCCGAGTGTAACGCAATAACTGCTCCCACCAGATGCGGGACGTGTAACCTAATAAAGGTCCTGTGACTGGGATTACAAACGCTCACCTCCAGATGAGATTAAGACGCGCCGCCTGCCTCGGGCATCAGGGCCTGAAATAATAACCAGTCTGAGGAAAATAATAACAGCACAATGAAAATCTCATATTTTCCATTCATTCTCTCCCTCCTTTATTGGAGGAAATCAGATTCCAGCTCGAATGAGAACCGAATTATTATTCCTCTCTTCACGCTTCGTCTTTCAGCTCTCAGTCTGTCCGGGACCCCCCCTCCCCACCTGGTGTTTGAAATAACAGTAGAGTACCTCCAACCACAGACCATCAGGAGCTCCAACAGGTCCGACCAGACATGGACCCCTGAGGCGGATCAGGATGAATATCTTCAGCGTTATCTCTGATCAGATAGTTGGTATAATATGAAACAGCGGAGCCCAGGATGTCTGGAGGAACCAGAGGACTCAGGTTGTGAGAAATGAGACACCTGGTCCGGACCGTGACACCGTGAAGATGAGGAGCTCTCAGTGGTTCCCTCCATGGAGGAGCGGACAGAACGCTTTGATTTTACCAACAAACCCAAAGATCTGGATCTCTGATCTAACAAGATAGAAGCTTTTTTATTGGGCCCAAACTACCATCCCAACAGTGAAACACGGGGGTGGCAGCATCATGCTGGGTGTTTTATCAGCTGCAGGGAATGGATAACTGGACCATCGCAGAGAGAGATGGATGGTACTAGAAACAGAACCTGTGGGACAATTAAATTCTATTCAGTGTA